TGATTATATGTCAAAATGGATTGAAGCTATTGTTGTACCTAAATTTGATGCTCGGAGTGTTTTAAATTCTTAAATACAAATATTTTTGCAAGATATGGAATGTCGAGAGTAATTATTACCGATGGAGGATCTCACTGCAAAATGTGTGGCCATACTAATAAAAGATTCTTTAGGTTACATCCAAATATCAAGAAAAAAATTTCCCTAATGGATGCTGAACCTGAACCTCCACTAGAGGCTCCCCCCCACAGTGAAAAAATTATACCTCAGCCTTTTGTCTCTGACAAAGAAAAAAGAATGTATACCCCCTCTTCAAGCAAAGCTCCTCATCTTCTTGAATTAGTTGGTTATGAATAATTGTTCGAAGCCAGTTCTCTTTCTGCAGATCTAGTGGCAGTTCCTTCTATGCAACAGTAACAGTCACTAATCATTCCTCAGCTACAGGGATAAAGAACACCCTCTATCCAACTTGAAAGTCATCCTCTTAAGGAGGGTTTTTCACCCTCTCTTCCTGATACTAATAGTATTACATTGGTAGAAGAGGCAGTGGAACATATTGCTGCTCTCTCCCAGTTGGCCAGAGCGGCTTCTAACCCTCTTCCTTGTTTTTCCCAATATGAATCCACTGAATGCCAATATAATTGGGAACATACAAGGTGAGTTAGGAGAAGGATGGCAGCTACAAATAACTTGAAATAAGAAAAATAATGTCATGGTTGACCCTCCTATAGATGACTTAGTCATTCAAGCAAGCAATTCCTACTCTTTCAAAAGGAACTCCCTATCCTGGCTCACTAGAGAAAAAGCTAAAACTTCCCACCATGATTAATCTATTGTGCTGGAACATTAGGGGGGTGACCCACTCCCTCTCTTTAAAAAAAAATTGCATCTAAATAGGAAATATAAACGTTGGTTTTTAGCTCTTCTTGAACCTATGGTTCACAAATATCCTCTAAAACTTCTCTCCCAATTTCAAAATTTCTCACATTACTCTAATGTTAATAACAAAATTTGGCTACATTGCAGAAAAGAATATGCTTGGACTGTTCTTATTAATGACCCACAGTATGTTCACTTCCAATTTGATATAGAAGGAAAGAGAGGTTTTGCTACTATTGTTTATGTTGGGTGTACTGAGTCTGCCAGAATTGACCTTTGTAGTGGCCTAATAAATATAGTTCAGTCTATGTCATCCCCCTGGCTGGTAGGAGGTGACTTCAACAATGTAGCTGATGTCTTTTAAAAAAGCGGGGGGGGGGGGGGCAGAAATCCTAATGTTAACATGTTAACTGAATTCTCTGATAACGTACTCTCTACTGGCCTTTTTGACCTTAGTTTTCAGGGTCCACCGTTCACTTAGAGAAGAAGGAAAATCTGGGAGATTGGATATATTTCAAGTGAACACCCTTTTGGTTCCAAAACTTTCTACATAAACATGTTACACACGTGAGTTTAGTGGAATCTGATCAAAGACCTCTATTGCTTAGCATAATTGGTAGTCCACCCACTAGCAGACCTCCCTTTAGGTTTCAAAATATGTGGGTGGATTATCCTGACTTCTTTAATCTTGTTAAAGAAAATTGGGGAGGTCTAAACAATACTAATTCCCTTACTAATCTATGACATTTACAGAAGAAGGTAGCCAAAGCTCTTAAGCAGTGGAACTGGAATAAATTTGGTAATGTGTTTAAGAATTTGGAGGTAGCAGAGAAACAACTGAAACTTTTGGAAGCTGGTTTGGAAACTAGTGTATCAGATGAAGCATCACTCTTGGTTAGAGCTGAGAAAATTCTTATGGAGAGTGAGTGATTGGAGCAGTTTCTAAGGCAGAAGTTTGTTGTGAGCAGATTTATGAGATAAGGCAGAAATACTAAGTACTATAATGCTTGTATAAAATACAAGAGGAAATGCAATACCATTCACAGAATCAAGAATACAAATGGAAAATGGCTCGCTGAGTTTAGGAGAATTACTGACACCGCTATTAATTACTTTAGGGATCTCCTCACTGCCACTTCCCAGGACAGTAATCCTCTTGACCTGCAGGTTTTCTAGGAGGATCTAAATTACACTGCAAATCTTCAACTCACTAATTACCCTTCAGAAACTGAAGTCTGGGATGCTTTACAAGACATTGACAGTGATAAAGTAGTTGGGCCAGATGGGAATACTTCTGCATTCTATAAGAAAGCATGACCTATCATCAAGAAGGATGTGATTGCTGCAGCATAAAGCTTCTTCTTGGGGCACCCTCTTCCTAAGTATTTCTGCTCTTCAACTTATGTTCTAATACCAAAAACCATTGAATGCATCAAATGGCACAATTTTAGGCCTATTAGTCTTACTAATGTTCTTTGTAAGATCATTAGTAAGATTATTGTTGCAAGGTTTAAACCTCACCTCCCTAACCTCATTAGGCCTAATCAAACTGCATTTGTCAAAGGGAGATTCATTGCTGATAATGTGTTATTGGCATAAGAGCTTTATCTGGATATTGATCAACCTTGTAGAGGGGGAAACATGATTTACTAGCTAGACCTGAGAAAAGCTCATGACCACATTAGATGGCAATTTTTTCTTGATGTACTGAAAGCAAGGGGTTTCTCACTGGAATTCTGCAATCTAATCTCAAGGTGGTTACAAAAAAATGCTCATTCAATCATGCTAAATGAGCAATCCACTGGTTATTTCACTACTAATAGGGGTGTCCAACAGGGAGACCCTCTATCCCCCTCAATCTTCATCTTAGCTATGGACTATTTTAGAACTATTGATAAATCTTTGTTGAACAAATCTTATGTCAGATATCATCATAGGTCTAATGTGGTCGTTACACATCTAATCTATGATGATGAATTTATCCTTTTCTCTAAAGCCAACAAATCTGCAGTCAAGGTTATACAACATTACATTAATCACTTCCAACTGACTTCTGGTATGAACTTCAACTCATCTAAATGCCAATTATTTTTTGGTAAAAAGGCTAACCCTACAGTCAAACAATGGATATCACAAGCAATTGGTTTTATACCTTCAGTCCCTCCTTTCAAATATTTGGGAGTACCTATTGTTAAGGCCAGACATAAATTGGTACAGTTTGATGATGCCCATTATAAAATTGATGCTCAACTTAACTGCTGGACACACTCCTTTTTGTCAAATGGAGGGAGGGTTACACTACTCAAAAGCATTTTAACAATCTTCCCTTCCTACATACTGCAAGTGTCAGTTATGAAGAAATCTACACAACTACTCTTGTAAAGAAGCTTCAATAGATTCCTATGGTCAGAACAAAGACAACAACTTCATTGGGCCAACTAGAAAAAAGTGGCTAAGCCAGCCATAGCTGGGGGACTAAGCTTTAAGGTTCTACTCCATCTTTATGAGGTGAATTTATACAAGCTCTGGATTAAATTTAGAAAAAAAAAATTCTTTATGGGCTTTATATATGAAGGGCAAATATTGTAGACACTCGCACCCCAGCCTAGTTAATAGAAAACTTGGAGACTCTAGGATTTGGGTGCAAATGCTGAAAGTGAGATAGAAAGTTGAGGATATTTTTCTTTGCTATCTGAAAAATGGCAGAATCCATTTTTGACTGCACAACTGGTGCCCTCAAAGCTTGCTTTTGCCTAAACCTACTGTGATTAATGAAGACCTTTTAGTATCTGATTGTTGATCTGGTAACTCTTGGTGCCTGGATACCCTAAAGGCTATTCTCCCTCCTACTACTGCTGTTTGCATTTTCAAAATTCAGTTTAACAGAGGGATTGCTGATAATTTTGTATTGAAGAAATACAAAATCAAATCCTTGTCCAAGGCCCTTTATGCTAATCTATTTACTTGGGAGAATGTTCCTTGAGGAAATTTTATCTAGAATAAGTTCTTATCTCCCTCTATGAAATTGATCCCTTTGGATGACATCCTTAAACTTAAGGGTATGAGAGGTCCTTCAAGATGCCATCTTTGCCACTCTGAAACTGAATCAATTTCCCATCTGTTCTTCAATTGCAGATTTGCTCAACTGGACTGGAAGGAGCTAACCCAGAATCTAAAAATTAAATTGCTTTCTATGGGCTGGGCCACATTGGAATCCTGCTGAAGTGACTGGTGTAAAATTAAAATATCTATTGTGCCTTGTATTGTAGCTTGGTTCCTCTGGATGGCCAGAAAGAAAGCCAAGTTTGAAGACTCCCTCCCACAAGTAGCTCACATTGTAGTTAATTGCAGAGCTTTCATAAACAAATTGGTATCTCTTAAGGGATTTCCTGATCCATGGAATTTCCCACATCAGTATAAAGACATCATTTCTTCTTTCACTATCTCTTAAGCCTTTTGGAAAAAACCTTCACACCCTTATATTAAAGTTGACACAGATGGTAGTAATAATAAGTACACTGCTGGTTTTGGTGGAATATTTAGAGACATTAATGGATTTTGTAAACTATTTTTCTACTGCCCTATGCATGCACACAATGCCTTAGAGACAGAAGCAGCTGCTGCCTTTTGGGCTATCAAGATTTTTGTTAACATAAAATTGGAGTATCTTCTAGTGGAAACAGATTCCAAAATCCTTACTCAAATGTTTACAGGTGCTACCCCTCCTCCTTGAAATGTCAAGCAATGGTTGAAAGCCATCAATCTCCTTTAAGAAAAATGCCATTTTACATTTATCTTCAACTACAGATAAGGGAACAAGCCTACCAATTGGCTTGCTAGATTAGCCTCAAATTCTGATGGTGTCTTGGTCTCATCCTCCCCTTCCCCTCCTCTCACTCTCTTGTTACGTGGAGACCTTCTTGGGGCCCCATATCTAAGAGTTGTAACCTCTTCAGTTTATTAATATAATTTTCTTGTTTGCCTAATATATATATATATATATATATTCATTCCCAGCTCCACGGTTGTTTGAAAAGAAACAAAAAGGACAGTTTATGTTCAAGCATAAAAAATACGATGTCAATGAAAAGTTTCATTCAGGTACACCGAAGGAAGAGATAATGGATGGTGATGAGGAACTCACTCCAAAACTTGTGGAGACTAATTTCAGCGCTAATCGAGTTATGGCCATCAAACATAATGAAAAAAAGGAGCATTGTAGTGTCTTTATGGATGGGATTCTTCATAGAATTCCCTTTGGAAGAAAGGTAATGGAAGCCATGAAGAAAAGTAAGTCTGGTCTGTGGGATGTTTCTACCATGGAAAAATTTGACAGAGAAGGCAAGTTGAATTCTTGTTGGAACAAGTTCAACAAACATGTCCCGAGAAATATCCAAAGATCTCATTCTCTTAGTGACTCTGTAGCCAAGTATTCTCATTTGTTTGAATCTTTATCAAAAGAAGAATTCAAAAACCTTCCTGAAGGAATGAAAGTGAAATCTTTAGATAGAGTATTATCTTTTTCTGACATCAAAGATTGTTCATTGAGCAAAGATGTGTAAAGTGAAGCTCCCTTTTCATGTCTTGAGAATTTAACTATTTCATCTAGAGAAAAAGTACTGAAGAAAGAAGAATCAGAAGAATTTACCACAGAAATGAGTTCAGAAAATTTGAGTAAAGATGGTTTAATCGAAGAAGAAAACATATCTATTTATATTACTCCACCAGGAGAAAAGCTACTTGATTAAGCACTAGCACGTGAATTCCAAAATCTAAATGGATTTCTTGATTATGCCATCTCTGAAGATTTAGAATGTAGATATCCATCAGAACACTCTACAGTTTCTCCTATCAATATTTCTCATAGAATTAATACTAATAGAACTGATCTTCTAAGAGAAAAATCATTCCCGAATTCAATTGCTTCGATTCTTTACTTCTTCAAATCCACCCTAAGCTCAAATCTAAATTCAACTATGTTAAAGAGATACTGAGAAGATCTAGATAAAACAGAAATGATTTTCTTTGAGCGCTGCACTCCCCCGATGATGACCAAATGGATCCCTTAATCTCTAATGAAGCAGAAGGTTTATCTTAAAAACCTAAAATTATAGAAGATGAATATGATACTTTACTGAAACATCAACATCTGTTTGATTTGATCAACAAAGCTTTGGTGGAAACATTAGACAGTTTTCTTTCTTATTTCTCTCCTTGGCTGTCTTCCTTCAATACTAACCCTAAACCAATGACTATGGGAGATCAAATTCTCGAAGAGATTTTTGGAAACATCTGCTGGCATTTTAAAGGTCAGCCTTAGCTGGGAAAAAATTTAGAAGAAATTGTGTCTTGAAATCTTACGAGGAATGATAGATAGTTGAATATTCAACATGACGTTGAGGATGTTGAGGAAGAGCTTGAAAGTTTAATACAGGATGATTTTTTAGATGATTCTGGGCTTCAGCTTTTTTTATTGCCTAGTTTCAATCATTTCCTTTCCTAGTCTAAGGTACTTTTCCGTGCATTCTTGTCTAACTATTGTAATGTATATGATTTTGGTTAGATTTTATTAAATCTCTATTTTTTTCATTGTAATGAGATTTAACAATGTATATTAGTTGTTTCAATGCATATAATGCTTGTAATGTGTGACAATTAATTGAGTATGGACCTGAATTTTTGATATTGGGTGTATATTTGATGAAATAGTATTTTGGAATCCTACATAATTTTATATATCATAAATTAAGACAAATATTGGTATTGGAAGAAAATTTGGAATTGAATTGAAAAAAAAAAGACGCAATTTTGGTCTCTAGCACCAGACTGGGCGCAAACAGCGCCCACTATATGGACCGTGGCGCCGACAGCGCCATCGGGAGCACCGATGACGTCTCGAGTAGTTTCGCACTTGTAGAGCAAACTCACAGACTTTGACAGGATTTAGCTCCTCAATAACCACGGAAAAGTGCTTTTTAAAGTCCTAACAACTACGTTGGACATCCAAAAACTTATTTCAAATTTCATGGCTTCCAATTCTAGAAATACTTCAAGGTAGGGAGCTTTCAATAGAAGAAAATTTATCAGTTTTGACATGCAGAGATTATAAAACAAAGTCATTACAAAAAAGAAACAGAGGCTTTGTCAATCTTGGATTGATTAATTCAAGTTCTCCGATTGAAAAAATCATTGTACAAAGACGTTGGGAAGTTCTATGTTACACTACCACTGCAGTTTTTGTACTAGTTTTTGTACTAGTGGTAAAGAAATGTGGTAAAGAAATTCTATGCTAACTTACATGAAATTACACAAGGAGTTATCTTCATTTGGATAAGGCTGTACTATTTACTCTGGATTGAATTAATGATTTGTATATGATAGAAAATGTTCCAATCTGTCGTTATACAAATTTTATCCCAAAGAGAGATTTGATGCAAGATGTTTATAATTTTCTGATGGATGAAAATAATAATTGGGATAATAATTGGGAAATCAGAGATTTGGGAAATCAGAGATGAGGGATACGTTAGTTTTTCTGCTTTGCTACTTAATCCAATTTCAAAACAATGACATTTCTTCTTATCTGCAAAACTATTGTAGAGTTACAAAAGAAAGTGTCATTTTAAACTATTGCATTTAAATGGAAAAACACATTGATGTGGGGTCGATTATTTTCAAAATATGTTGTGGGAATTATTATGAATGGGCCAATATATGGACTTGGGCATCCTTCTTTAATTTTCCTACTTTGTAGTCACTTCCAAGTTCCATATGGAAGTTGGGAAAAAGTTTTATTACCTTGGGAGCCCATGATTCCTATTAATGATAATTATATTGGAAATGGAAATGAAGCATTAGAATTATCTTGGACCATTCGTCACACGCTTAAACTCCGTTAATGCCACAAAAAATTGGAGGTTCACTAGCTTTGGAGAACAAAATGAAGAAAATTGAAAGAGAACTTCTTCAGTTATGAAGGCAATAGGAAATCTTAACTACCTTTTTGATCACCTAGATTGAAGGATGAAGGAGAACTTTGATCATACTGGAACAGTTGAAGTAGGGCGGGTGCAGATGTTCAAGAAAAATGGATGGATCAATGAAAATTTGACTGATCAATTCCCCTATCGACCATTCTACAATTTGTATGTCCATTACCAGTCTATGAGAGTCTATGCCAGTCTATGAGAGATATTAGTGGAGGAGAAAGTATTGAAGATGAGGTAGAATAATTGAAGAGGTTAGACTCTTTACTAGTTTAAAATACTTATGTTTTAATGTAAATGTGTAGATTTGATTTACTTTACTTTGCTTAGAACTCTATTGGCTTTGATTATGCGTATAATTTTGTGTCAGTGTTCTAATGTTGTGGCTTGACTTTGACGCTAAATTATAATGTAGTTTTTTTTATGTATGTGAAACTGTGATTAGAAAAATGTATTTGTAAAAAGTGTATTTTCATATATAAAAGTTAGTTTGGTGTTGTTTGTGAAAATGTTTTTTTGTGAATTATTTTATGATGAAAATTAGTGTTCAAAAGGCTAAATAGACTTTGGAGTAAATTGAAAGAAAATTGAATTTTGAAAAAAAAGTAAAAATTTGAATTTTTTGGCCACTGGTGCCGACGGCGCCAGAATGGGCGCCAATGGCGTCCTTGACCAGAACCGACCCAAACCTATAAGTTTCACAATTTGCGCAGTGAAAGCACCATTATTACCCTTTGAGTCACCATCAACCTCCGATTTTGCACCTAGGGCTTGCTATTGCTCGGATTTCAGGCAATTTTAAGGCAAACAAAGTTTGGATTTCATCTTCTCTAGGTAAGAGCTAAACTTTGAACTCAAACTTTTTATTTTCGCCATGGACTTATCTCACATTACCGAGATCCAAAAATTTTATAATTTTTTTTGAAAATTTTGAGAAAATCCTTTGGTGAAGTACTCTTACTTAGTAAATTTAAGTTTGAAATGTTCTACATTGTGATTTTCGAAATTTTGAGAATTTATTTTGATTTTATCAAATTTTCTTTGATTTACCATGACGCCTAGAATGAGCAAAGGAAACAGAAAGGTAGATTTTGATGATCAAAAGTTTGTCATATACAAGGCCAATATTTGTTTCAATAGTCTACTTACAACTTAAAAAGTGATTCTGGATCGAGGATTTAAAAATCTGGGTGGAGAAGTCGAGGCTATTATTGGTGCAGAGATGGAGTTCTATACTAATTTTAAGGAGACTTCTGAAGATTAGGTGTTTGTTCATGGGAACATGATATATTTTACTCCGAGGAGGATTAAGGAATTATATCAATTAGAAGATGTATATAGTTGCAAGTACAAATCTTTATTTGCTACAAACGAGGCCTTAGATGAGGTTATTTCTTTTCTTAGTGATGGAAGAGGAAACTGGAAGTTAAAGAATGGTGTTTTGGTAATATTTCCTCTTTCTATGTTAAATTTAGTATCTAAGGCCTGACACTGCATTATTTCTGGAAGAATGATACCAACAAATCATCATAGTGAGGTTACAAATGATAGAGCCATCCTGAACTTCTGTATCTAGTAGGTGATGAGGATAAATGTCAGCTCTATTATTTCTATGAACAATTGATATATTGCTTTGGGAGAGACCACTGGTGGGTTAGCTCACCCTGCCCTTATCTTATATCTTAACACTATGTATATAGGCAGGAGTTGATTTTAGAGCAGATGAGCAGAGGATTGAACCTCTAAAACATATTGGCATGCCAATATAAGGACTTACGAATCTCAAGTTGGATGGAGATCTAGAAGTAGGACCAGTGATATTCCTTCTACTTCAAGTACTTCTAGTACCCCTACTATCGAGGAACTTATGGAGTAGATGATGATCCAATAGGGAGATATCTTGAGAATGGGAAGTAAAATAGACATATGGAGGCCAAGAATGCACACAATGATGATTTGGCCATACAAAAAATCAAATATGATGCTGCTTATGATGATGCAACGGTCAAATATATGTAGGGTGATCACTCAGTTCAGTTTCTCACTCACCCTATTTTTACCCAATATTAACAACAAAATTTGAATGTGGAAGAAGAAGAAGACAATGATTGGTGATGTGTTATTTAGATTTTTGTTTAATGTATGTTTAATTGTACGTTATTTTTTAGACTATTTGTTTGTAGACTATAATACTTTATTTTAATTGTATGTTATGTTGTGAAACAACAGATTTGTAAAAATGTTTTTATTTTTGGGAATCATTTTAGTACTGTTATTAAGTTTTTACTACTTTGTTGAATGTGTTGTAATTAACTCTTTCTCAGCAAATTTTTATATGTATTATGTGTTATTTAATGTTTTAAGTTATATAGCTTTTCATATTAGCACCTGTAATATTTTAGAGTTAGGTTTCAAATTAGAAGCTTCAACATGTATGCCTTTCCTTTATGTATTAAATATTTTCTTTCACCATTTATTTTTTGATTTTTTCCTGCAAAAACTTTTAAAAATTTAATTTGGGGCGAAAGAATTTTTTTTAAGAAAAAAAGAAAAGAAACTTAATTTTAGTTGTCCTCACATAGCTATATTTTCCAAATATTTTAAAAGTTAACATGACCTATGGTATTAGAGGATAACTTTAGATAACTATATTTATGTTTCTAAATATATAGTAAAGGTAAGTAAAAATTTTTATATAATAAAAGTTAATCTTAAAGATTAAGATATTTGGTATGATAGAATAAGAATATTAAGAATCTTAGAAATTCATGTAAGAAGAATAGAATAAACTTTATGAAAAATCTTTACGGCTAATATAAATTTATAAAGTGAAGAAATGTGAAAAGTTTTTAGCTTTAAGAAGAGGAAAGTGAAGTTCAAAATCATTAAAGGTTATCCAGATAAAGTAATCATCACATAAAAAAAAGAGAAAAAGAAATGAAAAGGAGAAGGATTGAAAATGATACTGGAAAAGAAAAGAAAATAAAAAGAAAAAGAAAAGAAAATGATGTGAGAAGAAGCTTGAGGAGATGTCAGATTAAAAATTGACTTCACTTGAATGAACTTAAAGAAGAAGGCTTGGCTATATTTTCTAAACTTATATTAAAGTATTTTCATTTTTACTAGTAAAGTTTCTTGAAGTTCATTCTCATATGAATATTCTAAGTGGCTTTAATATGAATAATTTGCAATTTTCCTTGAAAAGAATAGCGAATAAAAAATTTTAAACTTGATTACTAGATATTTTTATACCATAAGTATTAACTGGAGTTATTTTAAATTTTTCTTAAGTTATGCTATTATATTTAGTGGACTAAGATATAGAAATATAGAAGTTCAAATATTTTCCATGAGTTATATTTTTATGTAATAAATGAGTTACATGAGGACAAGTGACATTTAAGTTTGGGGGACTTTGATACACCAAAAATAAATGCATTTTCAGACCCATATTTTAAACTCATTGTTTGTGGTATTACACTTTAATGAAAGGTATTTTTCATGTTTTTTCTGTAGG